TCTGGCGAATAATGCGTATTTATGAGGTGTGATTTGGCTGAGTCTAGCTCCGTTCCTTCATACGGTCAACACAAAATATATACACATAAGCAGTCACTCCGTAAGGTGACGATCTATAGATAAAATTGTTACTCACGCTGCCTGTCCACAAAGGTCAAAGTCTAGAAGGGGGAGACTGATATAACAACAGACAATGACAATAGACATGGTTAATGGATTTGTGGGTTAATGGATGGGGTACTGGAAGTATACAAAGGGAGCCATGAATGGTACAGTGAAAAGCTACACAGAAAGGTGGCGTCTGAATGTGGCGTCTTACACTGCACAGTGTAGGAACTTCTCCGCCCTCCACTGTCCTCTAGGGACATAAAAAGAGGAATACAAGTTGGCTGGATAAAGAGACACAACCTGGGGCAGGCAAAAAGATGCACACACACAGATACAAACTTTGAAAGTCACTGTAAAATCATTGAACGAACGGAGAGTGGTCAATAGCTGGGGTCCAAGGAGCAGGAGGGAGAAACAGAACATAAAGCTGGAGGTAGACGAGGTCTGTGGCGTGCCTGCAGCCTTCTATCGAGTATGGATCTTCCACATGAAGGAACGAGTCTGCAAAGGTGCTCCCCCAAACCAATGGGTTAGTTCATCCCCTCCCACGGTGAATCCAGGTAACCTTTGGAACAAATAGAAGATGGGGTGGGTAGTTCTGGGTGACTGCTGAGGACACTGTATGTCTGCCTTATTCTCTAGGAATCCTGTTCTGAGGGAAGCCAGTCATCATCATCATCATCATCATTCTAATAATATAGATTATTATTAGTAATAAAATAGTAATAATAATCTACCTACTGTAGGCCCAACATGTTGTGATAGAAAAGCAGAAAAGAGAGACCACATGAACAGAGCTGTTCCAGCCAATTGGTATCAATCCAGTCAAGATGACACCAACCTCAGTCCATATCTGATGCAAAAAGAGAATAGAACAGCAGGGTGCTGAGCTGAGAACTATGAGAGAGAAAAGTGGTGGTGGTGGTGTTTTCAATTTGGTTTGTGGAATATTTTTTGCTTTGTTGTTGCCTTCGAAAGAATACATTTGGAAGGAGTTTATTCCTCTCCAACAGGAATGAAAAGGAGAGGCTGGAATCCAAAGACACCTCCATGTGAGGCAGACCGACAGACTATAATGAGCAAACACATGTACGGTGGGGCAGTGGACAGGAAGACTGAAAAATCTGTCAGGATTTTTGTTTTCCCAAAAGAGAAAAATGGGGCTTTCTCATGCAGTTAATGTTCTTCCTAAGGGAAGGCAGACGATGATCCATGTAGCTACTGGTATTGGGTCACAAGCGAGTTGAGACTAAACATATAATACACACAAGCTCAAGCTCACAGTTGCCTAGGCGACAATGGCGGTCATTGGGCACAAATCACCAGGAGGAAGTGCTCAGGCAATAAAAGGCAGAGGTTAAGGGTCAAAATTTGAAGAGAACAGTGGCCAGAGTTTTTTTTGTTTGTTTGTTTGTTTTTTCTTTTCACAAAGGGAAGAGAAAAGTGAAGTGGAAAAAGAAGCACAGACCTCTGTCTTAAAGAGCAAGGGACTGTCAAGAAGTAGGGGGATTTTGTCTTCAGAAATTCACTGGAAGATCAAGAGACTGTGCAATTGACTGTTAAATGGTCATTAGGCTTCCCATGGGACTATTTTCAATCATCTGGCTTTGAGATGAGTAGTTAAAGAAGCTGAGGGGAGGTTTAAAACAGATGGCTAATAGAGATGAGTCTTTAATGATATTTGGTGTTCAAGTGAAGGAAGAAGAAAGGAAAGTTCATTTTTTTAGTATAATTGTGTAAAATGTGAAATCAGAGATAGAAAAAAGTATTAATTATTAAAAATAGGGCAAAGGGAAATTCCAGAAGACCCAAAGTAAAGAATTAAATAATAAACAAGTTAAACATCAGGTTACTGAAAAGTAGCAGGACTCAGGAAAAGCCCAGAAACCAAGAAAGTACTTTGGCCTTAGACTTAGTAATAGAATGTTTTTGGGGGGAGGTGTGAAAGGTGTTTTTGCAAATAGGAAGTTTGGAGCATGTTTTGGTAAACATCTGCTAAACCCCTAACAAAAGGAAAACCTAGAATGTGGTCTTCGTTTTCAACATATTGCTTTGTCTTATTGGAAATTGCTATTTGTCACTGGCCACCTGCTTAAGGCCCTTTCTGTACACTACCACCTGCTCATGGCCTCTTTCTTATATAAGCCACAATGTGAGAGAGCATGGCTGCTATGTTCCACTACTCTATAAGTGGAGCATAGTTGCCATGGCTAATAAAGACCCCTTGCCCTTTTTACCTGAGTCAGTGGATATATGTACAAGAAATATATTTGTAGGAGCCAGGACTCTACAATTGAAAGCTAAGGGAAAGGAAGAATACGGGATGGGTTTGCCCGCATGCCCAGAACCAATGAGAAGGGAGAGATAGAGGGCTCCCCAGAGTGATCTAGGTTTTCAGGCTTTTGTTCTTCTAAGGTGGTCCAGGATCATTAACATCAGCTGGAAGCTTGTTAGAATCTCAGGCCCCATCTTCAGCCTGGTGATCTAGAGTCTGAATTTTAACAAAATCTCAGGTAATACTTATACCTATTAACTATGCCCTGGAACAGGCAGAAGTATAAGAGAAGGGGGAAGATGGATATCACATGTAAACCTTACAGGACTAAAGCTATCTCTTGGTTTAATTATTTAGGTATGGTTTTGCTTTTATGGGAAAAGATGACAGATGTTGAGAATATTATTTCTATGCTCCCAAATATTCAGATATATGGGAAACAAAGGCTTGTAGGATCAGAATTTATCTCTAGTGAAATCAGAGGAAAAGGCAGGATTATCTACAGTCAAGGTGAAGATATTATCATTACTCGAGCTTCAAACCCAGATATTCTGCTTTATTTTTTTCTGAACTAGGACTGGTATTTCTTTTTGTTTCAATAATTTTAAAAATCCCATGAGTGATTCTACTTGCTAGTTCGAATTGAGAACCACTAAGAGATAAAAGAAAAAGAAAAGAAAGTAAAGAGGCTCTGAACCTTAGCTTCATAGTTAAGCTGGGAGACTTTGAGAATTACCAATATGCAGGCACATTTGTCAAAAAGACTATTTCATTAATCATACCTTTAATGGTGCAAGGGAGGCATGTTTCTTTCTACCAGTTGAATTCTCACAGCATCACAAACCAAGCTTAGCCACCTATTCCGTCAGCAGCATCAAATGGTATTTGTTAAAATCTGTGTACATAGGATAGTGCTGCACTGCTTTTTTATTTGTAAAATACACGTGAACACCTTGTCAATCCAGCAGGACTGGTTTTGGGTTTTTTCATTTGTTTGTTTTTGTTTTTTGTCGGTCTCAAGGCTAGCGCTCTACCATTTGAGCCACAGCACTACTTTTAGCTTTTTCTGCTTATGTGATGCTGAGGAATCAAACCCAGGGCCTCATGCATGCAAGGCAAGCATTCTGTCACTGAGCCTTCCCAGCCCCATCAAGACTAGTTTTTGATGGCAGTTAAGTGTTTACACTTCCTTTCTATTCCTTGTTCCTAGTATAAAATATGATCCCTACTGCTCTGAGTTTGTACCACATCATACATCTCAGTTACAACTAATTCCAGTAGCAAAGTATATGGTAGAATTTTGGAATGTCATGCTGTATTTGCTTTAATTTCAAGTGAGTCATAAGTATTCTGAAGTCTTCCCTGAGATGGACAATATAGTGTGTGTGTGTGTGTGTGTGTATGTTTCCAAATTTGTGACCCAGAGACAATATTAGAATCATTTGGGGTCCTAACTATAAATACAGATTACTGGGTCTCTCCTCAGACCTACTGAATCAGAATCCTTGTGGGTGGGGTCCAGAAAGTGATATTTTCCACAAACACATCTGATAAGCCTAATGTATTCTAAAATTCAGGTGTGTGTGCAGTAAGAAGGCCAGTAGGAACATAAGCTAAAGTGAATAAAATAAGCACTACCAATTAAATTCCATATTTAAGGAGCACCCACTTCAAGTTGGCACAAGACAGGCCAAGGACAATAATGACTAAAAAAAATCCTTACCTTAAAGGGTCTAACAGGATCAACTAGCCTGCTGGATGCAACAACAATAAATTGAATACAAAGCAATCTACTTCTTGTGCTAGTATTTTTATAGAATATATCTTTTAAGATAATTATTGTTCATTTAGCCGATAAGTTTTGAATCTAATAAACAAGTGATAATAACCTAGACATACACTCATTCAAATCGCCTTCACTAAGCACCGAGTACCATAGTTTCCAATCTTTTCACCAAGAACAACTCCATTATTGAAAGGCTGCCCCCAAACGTAGTGTATTTTAAGTTTCTAACCAAAAAGAAAATCGAGAGCTGTCAAAGCTTGTAATTAGCATGAAACAACCAAGTTCACACTTACAGAATGTAAGTAAAAAACGACTTTTAAAAGCTTTGCTTAAGCGGGGCATCATAGTGGCTCCTCCCTGTATTTGAGATGAGGGGAATGGTGGCTCAAGGCACAGAACATGTTTGATCTTTGTTTGTCTAACTCTTACAACCACCAGGCGAAGTGGGCATTGCTGTTCCCATCTTTACCTGACTTGAGATTGAGGCTCAGAGACACAGTGCTGATAAGCCAAGGCCAACCTCAGAACTTTCGGCCCAACCATGGTTTTCTAGAGGTGAATTCAGAGGCATTTCTACGCTGGGGAGACTAATGAGCTCGTGTTTCAGATGCCATGCACCTCTACCGACCCGCCATAGGTCTGCAGCTCCTCTAGTTAACAAAAAGTTCTCATTTGTAGTTCTCCATCAACCAAGGACCTTGACAGCCGTGGAACTTCACTTCCCAGCAGGCCTCAAGGCAGCTGATCACGCGATACTCACGAGATGCTAGTCCCGGCTCCTCTAGTGAGGCCGCCGAGCAGAGGCGCGACTTGTCCCCTACTGACGTAAGGGCGCGTGGCATGCTGGGATTTGTAGTCCTCTTGAGGCTCGGACGCCCCCTCGGATGAATGGGGCCGGGACTGACGGCGAACTACAGCTCCTCGGCTTCGAGTGTCGGGCGGTGTCCCGGGAGGAGAGTGAGGACCGCGGCGGACCCCGCGGAGAGGGGCGCTCGGGACGGCGGCGATGTGCGGCGCTGGCTGGCCGGGGGTAGCGGTTTGATCTAGACGGGCGCTTCCCCTGCGCGCTCGCTCCCCGGGGCCTGCACCGGCCATGCGCCCGGCCTTCGCGGTGGGCCTGGTGTTCGCGGGCTGCTGCAGCAACGTGGTCTTCCTGGAGCTGCTGGTCCGGTGAGCCCCTCGTTCGGCCGGGCCCGGGACCCCGGGACCTCCGGGACCCCCGGGGCGGTTCTGAAGACCCCCCCCGGCTTCGGCCGCCCCCCGCCGGTCCCCAGCGCGCCGCTCCCGCGCGGGCCCCGGGGCGCCGCAGCCCGAGCCCCGCTCGCGCCTGGCTGCCTGGGACCCCGCGGGAGCTGCCGGGTCGTCTGTGCTGCGCAGCGCTGCCCATCCCGTCCAACGAGTTCACAGCATCCCAGTGAGGCCGACACTCTGGGTAGTGCTTCCACCCCCCCCCCCCCCCCCCCCCCCCGTTAACACTGTAGGGGTTTGGAAGGATTCTGGAAAGTTTTTCAGATGACTGATCCAAGGTCAGTAGGGAGCAGGGGGTGGGGGGCATGAACTTATTATGTTCCTTTGCCAAGCCCCCTCTCTCCTCTCCCCCTTTCCCTCTCCCTCCTCTTTCCCTCTCACCTCTCCCCATCTCTATTCTCTCCTTCTCCCCGCCTTCTCTCTCTCCCCCCCCCCCCTTCTTCCTACCAATTCAAGCCTTTCTGGGGCCAGTTAATAATAGCACATGCCTGACTTGAGCAAAACTTTCAGACAGTAGTAGTACACAGCCATCCTTGTTTGCCCACGCTGCAGTTTCATCTGTTTCCAAATGCCCCACAGAACGATCTGTTTATATTGGCCTTCAACAGTGTTAAGGCACTTTGCCCATACACACATCTCAACAATATAGAAAGATAATAATTGTATGTAGAGGATAGGTCAAAATGACCCAGGCGCGTTTCCAGCTTCCGTGATGTGGTTTTTTGTTTCTTGTTTTGTTTTTAATTGGGAAGCATGCTCTAGGAGCCTTACATTGAGAATGACTGAGACATTTCCCCTTAGAGAAGCAGGTTGGCTTTGTGGAGGTGTCTGGGAAATAAGGTTGAGTAAGAATGTGCAAAGTTCAGGGCCAGAAGCTTTACAGAAGACAGCAGGTGGAGTGGGAAAGGCTCAGGACTTAAAAGTTCAAAGTTAAGAATTTCACTCTTGGTTCCATCATCCATTGGCTTTGTGGCCTTCAAGTTACCTAGCCTGTCTGAACTCTTCCTTCCCAACCTCAGCTGTAACATAATAATACCAGGTTTCATGTTTCTGAACCTATTTATTATCTCCACTGACTATGTGAACAAACCTATGTTTAAGAATTACAGTTCTTAGCTGAGTGCCAGTGACTCATGTCTGTAATCGTAAGAACACTGAGGTCTAAGGATTGCTGTTCAAAGCCAGCCAGGGCAGATAAGTTTGTGAGACTCTTATCTCTTAAACAGCAAAAAGCCAGAAGTGGAGCTATGACTCAAGTGGTAGAGTGCCAGCCTTGAGTGAAAAAGGGGAGGGACAGCACCCAAGTTCAAACCTTAGTATTGGCCAAAACAAGAAAAAGAATTATAGTTAGTTTTTCAGAAAGGGAACTTAGGTTGCCTTTGACAACTTGTAAGTGACAAAGCAAGAACTGGAATACAAGAGTCTAAATTCCTAGCACAAACCTTTTTCCATTTCCCTGTCATTTTGTGTATGTGTGCCTGTGTGTGTGTGTGTGTGTGTGTGTGTGCCTGTGTGTGTGTGTGCATGCACGCACACGCACCTACCCACATGTGTGCACACTCTAGTAATGGGGATTGGATCCTGTCCCTTATCTTTATTCAGTCAAGGCTAGCCTCTACCACTTGAACAACACCTCCACTTCCCTCTCCATTGTTTTTGAACATGAACAGCCCATAGATTTCGGTCATCCAATTTGTCATGTGGTATCTAGAAGAAATGTACTTTATTACTCATTGATATCATCGACTAAAGTTATTCTGAAGCAACCAGTTGACATACATTTTGCTCTGTAAAGGGTTAAGTTTTGCTTTTCCAGAGCTTGAAATTTTATCATGCAGGAAATGTTGATACAGATTTATTATTTGTCTTGGGAGTAGATAGTGACGGATATGAAATGAAACAAGTATATCCGGCTATAATTCTGATACACTTGAAAGGAATGCCACTTTGGAAATGTATATAATATACTTAATATGTATATATAATATTATATAATACATATTATATATAATATGACATAATAACTATATAGTATAAAGTGATATAATCACACCAGGTGGAAATGGAAGTCAGAAAGTAATAGTGTAATATTTGTGTTGCGTATGCTATTAAATCTTGAGAAAGACTGTAGGATGTCAGAATATGCTAACAACTGAAGCCTCCTTTTACTAGTTTATGGGCCCTTGGCTAAATTACTTAAGCTGTCAAAGGGAACCAGAGCTCTATCGGACTTAAAAGGTCTTGAAGGATTAAATGAGATGTGTGAGGATCACCTGAGGTACACTGGTAGTTGGCTTACCTTTCTCTCTTGCAACTTTGTTTCAGCACAGGTATACTTTGTTTTATGATATATTTCAGAAAACTGGAGATAAATCTACATTTTAAAAATGTTTATAGGTACTTCTATTCCAGAATCCTCAAATAACTTATAAGTAAATCACCACTCAAGTGAATCATCACTCCTTATTTATCTTCTTTGCAAATCTATATTTTTATATACAGTGGTAGGTTTTCATAAAGTAAAGGAAGTAAAACTTCTTGATTTGAGATTACTAAGGTTTATTAATCAACTCAACTTTACACCAGACTGAACAGCAGCTTTACACAATTGCTTCTCTTACAGAAAACTAAAGTAAGACCTGCTTAAGCCAGATGGTCTCTAAGCTTAATTTCTAAATATGACCTTGAAATTTGTGATTTTAATCTTAGGCCATCACCATGGGAAACTTATAAATTTTTATAGGGCTGGAGCTGTGCTTTGTGTATTGGTATTGGAGCACTTAGGTGCCATTATAAGCACAAAGCAGAATTCTAAATGTAAAAGGTAAAGTGACTGGCTGAAAGAAAAGGACAGTTTTAACCATCTTTCCAAAGTAGAAAACAAATTCAGGGTTTTTTTTTCCTTTCTAATTGTATAATTGAGACCAGTAAAAAAAAAATTGTAAGCTGTCACTGTACTAGGCAGACACACAGAAGTGCATGAAGGCCTATTCACTCACTGAGGAGTTTATATTCTACCCTGCAAATAAGATAAACACACTTTAGCTAACTAGGCAAACTAGGCAATGTATTGCATATCTTACATCAGGAAAATAGTTGGAAGCATTTTATTTTATTTTTCCCACATAACTTTTCATCCAGAAGGCAGATGTGGAATTGAATAAGGACTTTTTTCTTTGTCGGTTGTGAGGCTTGAACTCTGGACCTGAGCTCTGTCCCTCAGCTCTTCAAGTGGTGAGCACTGTACCACTTGAGCCACGGTGCCACTTCTGGTTTTCTGAGTGGTTTATTGGAGATAAGAGTCTCACAGACTTTCCTTGCCCAGGCTGGCTTTCAACTGTGATCCTCAGATCTCAGCCTCTTGAGTAGCCAGGATTACAGGCATGAGCCACCAGTGCCCGACTAAGGAAGTTTTTTATATCTAGAAAATAATTACAAAAGGCATAAACTTATCTGCTCAATTTGTTATCTCTCAAGTTATTTTAAATAAATAAATAAACTTGGATTCTTGCCAAAGAGAATCAAAGAGATGCCGTCTTCAGTTTCTGAAGAGTAGGTTTGAGAGTGCAAAAGACTTGCAAAAAAAATACATTTCAAATTCTTACTCTGAAGCTTTAAACTGAATTATTCAAGTTAAAATAAATCCCCTGAGAGCTAACTATACAACAGTACAAAAACTTGCTTAGCTTGTTTTTAAAATACTGGGTTGGGTAGAGCAGGGGGTTTATACTTGTAATCCTAACCACTGAGTCTGAGATTGAGAGGTTCATGGTTCCAGGCTGGGCAAAAAGTTTCCTAGATAACAGCTGGCTGTGGTGACACAATGCCTGTTATCCCAGTCTCAGGGCAAGCATAAATAGGACACTTAAGTCCAAACTGGACTGACCATAAATGTGAGACCCTATTAAAAACTAAGAAGCTGAATACCTGTGGCTCATGCCTGTAATCCTAGCTACTCAGGAGGCTGAGATCTAAGGATTGCGGTTCACAGCCAGCCTGGGCAGAAAAATCCATGAGACCCTTATCTCCAATTAACTAGCAGAAAACCGGAAGTGGTACTCTGGCTCAAAGTGGTACAGGGCTATCCTTGAGCAAAAGAGCTCAAGAATAGTAGCCAGGCCCAAGTCAAGCCCCACATCCAACAACAACAAAACGTCTCTTAGATATATCTGCCTGGGCTGGCTTTGAACAGCATTCCCTAGATCTCACTTTCTGAAGTAGTTAGGCTTACAGTCTGCCTCTCTCAGTGCTTGTAGCACACATTGTTTAAGTGCTTTTCTGAGACTCACTTATTTATTCAGCAATAAACAAACTAGTGATATAATTCCATTTAAATACGAATACTGTTTCCATTTTAAAGATAAGAAAACTGAATTTAGATAAATTGATTAGTTTCTATTTTCATATAGTAACAGGGTGAATCTTGCCCGTTTATTGTGTGTATGTGTGTGTGTGTAAGTGCCTGTATTAGGGATTGAACTCAGGGTCTGGGCACTGTCTGTTAGCTGTTTTACTTAATACTGGTGCTCTACCCCTTGAGGCACAGCTCTCCTTACACTTTTCAGATGGTTAATGGGAGATAAGAGTCTCCTGGACTTTCCTGCCCTGGCTAGTTTTGAACCTTGATCCTCAGATCTCAGCCTCCTCTGTAGCTAGGATTACAGGCATGAATCATCAGCACCTACCTTGCCTGTCAGTAAATTTAACCATTGTGGAGCACAGTAGGTCTCAGCCCTCCAACCACACAAGATCAGTACCAGCACATTTAAATACACGCAAATATACACACAAACCATTGGTCCTTCCCCCACATCAATATCAGTGGCTCTCAACCTGGGAAGCTTTTGAAGTTCTCATTGCAAGGGTCTTTGCCTTGATCAATTTAATCAGAACTGGGAGAGGGCACATCTTCAGGCACCTGTGAGTTTATAAAGAGCATCCAGGACAAAACTGGAAAGCACTGTTGCTACAAACCACCTAGCATTAGATTTTTTTCTCCTTCTGTCTCTGGTATAATGGTTTTAATTAGCTCCTTAGATGAGATAAAGGTCTTACATGCTTATTTATGGGTTCCTGCAAAATGTAACCTTGTCTGTTGAACACAAGAAACACTGAAAAAAAAATGTTGAATTACATATAATGGAATAGATTTCAAAGACATGTTCATAGTCAAAGAGTTTAAGAAAGAGTAACAACAGTGTGCTTACAGTGGTTAAACCTCACTTGCTACAAAATGGCTTATGCCTGAGTTGTCTATTTTTATGCCTGATGAGTGTGTTTAATAATTTGTATATTTTGGCACTGTCCCTGAGCTACTTTGCTCAAGGCTAGCACTCTACCACTTGAGCCACAGCACCAGTCCGGCTTTTTATATTATGTGGTACTGAGGAATTGAACCCAGGACTTCATGCATGCTAGGCAAGTACTCTACCACTAAGCCACATTCCCAGCCCACTTTGAGTTAAATAGTAAGAATTGGATGGTTTTCTTGATTGGTGGTCTCCTGTTTCTGGTAAGATTGAGTCTTTCTCACCCTTATTTCCTCATTTTTTTCTCCTTATTCTTTTGTGGCGGCCTGCCACCAGGCAGGTATTGGTTCATCAGCTTCCTTGCTATGTGCAAGTTCTTTAAAGCTGCAGTTCCCTGATTGGCTGCTTTTCTGCTAACTCATGTCATTGGTTCCCCAATTCCTAGAGGAACCAAGGACCCAGTTAGGGGGCTTTAGCTGGCAATTTCTGGTGATTGAACTTGGCTGAATGGAGGACAAGCTCAACAAAACAGGCAACATCTCACAAAACTCATTTTCACAGGGTTCCCAGGGAAGATGTTAGAAGGAGTATTTCTGCTTTGTAATCTTGTTCCTAATAGCATGGAAGACTCCCCAGCTGTTAGATAGATCGCTGAATAGGAGCAGCTGAATTACACAACTGTTTCTTGACTGCCTAGTAGATTTGAAATATGGCATGAAGGGTTGTGGAGAGGAGTATGTTCTAGCCATGTTTCTCAGTCCTTGATTTATTGTTCCCAAACCCTAGGACCCTTTCTAGACCTATTTATCTTAGTTACCTCTCCATCGATGTACTATTTGCTGGCTTATATGCAGAGAAGTATATCTCTCCCTCACTTTAAAACAGTGGGATTTCCCCCTATTCCAGGGGCCAGTTTTTGAGTCCCTGGGGACACTATCTAAAGTAAGCTGCTTGTCAGCACCTGGTCAGGAGGGATATATGAACATTCCAGGAGAAATTCCAGCATGTATCCAACTTCAGTTTTGCTACCTAAGCTGACTAGGCCTCTGATTAAAGGCCTTTGGTTAAATGAGCTGTACCACAGTTTTAGTTATGAAGGTGGCAGAGTAATTATCACTCAGGGCCTGCCATACTCAAGGAAGAATGAAGTGAGGAAGCATGGTGCTAAATACACATGATCCATACAAAAGCCAAGGTAAGGAAAGACAGTGGACCACAGCAATCTAGCCTTCCTATTATTTTGGAACTATAAATATAACACATTTTAATGCCAGTTATCTCACTTTTTGTGCCTTATTTTTTCTTTTTGTTGTTCACTGTACAGGAAGCATCCAGGATGTGGGAACATCGTGACATTTGCACAATTCTTATTTATTGCTATAGAAGGGTTCTTCTTTGAAGCTGATTTGGGAAGGAAGCCTCCAGCTATCCCAATAAGGTGAAGTGTCTAGCTTTTGGTCTTTTTTAAAGAAATTGAGAGGTTATGGCTGTATGTGATGTTCTTTTCTCAGACTTACATCGAAGATATCCGCAGAATAATTCAATTTAAAAGTTAATATATTTTGAGACTCTGGGGAGCCCACTTTTAGGATAAAAATCCTGTCCATTACAGGTAAAATAACTGTGATGGAGATAATAGTGTGTGTTGGGGGGACGAGAGGAATAATGGGGTCAGTCAGAAGGCATAATTTAGCCGAGCACAGTGGTGTATGCCTGTAATCCCAGCAATTCCAGCTCTTCAGAGGTGGAGACAAAAGGATCTTGTGGTCCAACTGAGTGTATAGTGAAACATTGTAGCAAAACAACCAAACAGAAAAAGAGGAAAAGTGATGTGAACACAAATTTGTAGTAGTTGTGTATCGCATTCCCTGTGATGGTATAGTTATAAGATATGCTAAGTAGTATTGTTGCACCTTTTTTTTTTTTGGTCATGGGGCCTGAAGTCTGGGTATGGGCACTGTCCCTCAGCAATTCAGCTGAAGGCTAGTGCTCTACCACTTGAGCCACAGCACCACTTCCAGCTATTTCAGCTTATGTGGTATGGAGGAATCAAACCCAGGGCCTCATGCATGCAAGAGAAGCACTCTACCACTGAGCCACCTTCCCAGCCACCAGGGCACCTCTTGAAAAAACCCTATAGATAATTATTAAGTAACATTTGTGTGTGTGCGTGGCCCTGGGGCTTGAACTCAGGCCTACCACTTAAGCCACAGCTCCACTCGTAGCTTTTTTGGGAGATACAGAGTCACATGGACTTTCCCACACAAGCTGCCTTTGGTCAGTGATTCTCAGATCTTAGCCTCCTGAGTAGCTAGGGTTATAGGCATGAGTCACCAGGGCCCAGTAACATTTTTAACACCTCCTTTCAGGTTGTGTACTTAACAAATTAGACGAATATTTCTGCAAAGTCTCTGGTGATTCAAGCTCTTCCCATGTTTCTCTGACTTTGTGGAATAGTTTTATATGCCTTAGTATTTGATTCACAAGTTAGTGGTCTTTTATTTTTTTTTTATTTTTTTTATTTTTTATTTTTTTGTGGGTCATAGGGCTTGAACTCTGGGCCTGGGTGCTGTCCCTCAGCTCTTCAGCTCAAGGCGAGCGCTCTACCACTTGAGCTACAGAGCCACTTCCGGTTTTCTGGTGGTTTATTGGAGATAGGAGTCTCACGGTCTCTCCTGCCCAGGCTGGCTTTGAACTGCGATCCTCAGATCTCAGCCTCCTGAGTAGCTAGGATTACAGGCATGAGCCATCAGCGCCCAGCTAAGTTAGTGGTCTTTTAATAGAGAAGAAATGAGCAAAATACTTTTGAACTCCCACCCACTCATACCTCTTTCCCTCTATAATTGATCATCTTGAAATGTTAGAGTTGTGCGAGGTGCTGTTCTCTGTGTTACAGGTACTATGCCATCATGGTGACCATGTTCTTCACTGTCAGTGTGGTGAACAACTATGCCCTCAACCTCAACATCGCCATGCCCCTGCATATGATATTCCGATCCGTAAGTGCTCCTCTGAAAAGCAAAAGCAAGCAGATAGACCGAATTTATGGCAGAAGCAGAAATGTCTTCTAATAAGTGAAATCTAGGCTAGAAAAATAGGTTTGTGAATGCTGAGCATTTATCTAAGAACAAGGCTAAAAGAATTGTGAAAGTGGGGCTGGGAAGGTGGCTCAGTGGTAGAGCGCTTGCCTTGCACTCATGAGGCTCTGGGTTCGATTCCTCAGCACCACATAAGCAAAAAGAAAAAAGCCAGAAGTGGCGCTGTGGCTCAAGTGGTAGAGCGCTAGCCTTGAGCTGAAGAGCTGAGGGACAGCGCCCAGGCCCAGAGTTCAGGCCTCACGACCAGACCCCCCCCCCCCCCAAAAAAAAAAGAATTGTGAAAGTGGATGGCTCTCTTTTACTGATCTCAGGCCTAAATATGTGATTAATGAAAAGCATTGTGGGCTGTACTTTTTGCCATCATAAAAACATCTGAACCTCATTAATTTTTTTGTACTAACTTCCTTCATCCCATGTTTTCTCAGTATTCATGTTAGTATTCCTGTTGAATTATGCTGTGTTCTTTTCCTGGTGCACTAAAACTCTTACTCTTGTCTCCTTTTATAGGGTTCTCTAATTGCTAGCATGATTCTGGGAATTATCATTTTGAAGAAAAGGTAAGCTGTATATCCCTAGGAATGCTGGGTTTCTTTTCCCTCAGTGTATAAGCTTGCTCTTGGCCATCTACCTTTTTTCTTAGTTCTTTCCTCTAAAATGATGCATAGTCATGAAGGTTCCTGAGGTCTCAGCCCTTCCTGTGACTCGGTGTAGAGCTAAAGCATTAGTGCCAGGTCAGTCTGTGGAACCAATTGATAGAGAATTTAGCTGATCAATATGGCTTCCACTAACCTCATGTGACCATTTACATTTAAGTTTTTTTAAGATAAAATAAAGTGAAATACTTAGTTTCTCCATTTGACTTGTTGTATTTTAAAGGCTCAGTAGCCACACATGGCTGGTGGCAGCCAAATTTGGAAAACCCAGATCACAGAACATTTCTTGCAGTACATCTGTCTTGTGGGACACTCCTGTCCTAGCAGATGCTTACTGGTATAACTTAATGACTGGAGAATTGTCACATGTACTAAGAATTCCCAGCAAAGGCCCAGTAGCCATGAAGATGGAAGGACAGGTTCAGGCTGGTTCTCTGTAACAACCACCAATGTCACTCTCTGTATTAGAGGCGGAAAAAGGCAGAAGTACCAAGGATGCTTCTTGGATGTATCTTCATTCTGAGTCTCGCTTCTCACTGCCAAAAAAGAGAGACAGCACATACGATATAGAAACTTTTAGGAAGAAATTTGCTGTCCTTGCTAAGCCCAAAATTGTGTAAGCTCATGATGACACCTTTTCAATATGTTCAGTACTCCGCCTCAGTATTAGAACTCTCTATACTGGCTGTTAGTTCAAAATGTCGTAACCTGGAGCTCTTACCCAAGGCCATGTCATGGCAGGGACCATTGTCCCATGTCACTAGGCTCCTTATCATGGGCACTTTTTCTCCTGAGGCTTCTCATTTCCCAGATCAGTTTTTCTTTTCTGGGTTCTGTGTATTTGAGCAAACATTTGTGAAGATCAGATACTGGAAATGACCGTTGTGTTTGTTGCAGCATTGAATTCCCTTTGAGAAGGAACTGTCCTTCTCAACCTTTGATTTTAGTTCTAATAGGGATACAAAGAACTTATCCTGAAAGGAACTTGCTTCTCTTGATAGTTCCTTAAAATGCCATTAGTGTTTTGCAAACATCTGGTTCCTTTAGTGACTTGAGTGTGTCATCTTAAGTAATGGAAGAAATAACATTGATCAAGATGCATTATACTTATAAACTGATTTGTTGAGTTGAAACCCCTTTGTATAACTACTTAAGATAAGGATAAAATAAATAAAAAGAAAGAAAAGACTAAAAAGTATTTATAATCTCTTTCTGTGTATAATCACCCACAGAGCAGGAACTTATGTAAGTTAACTATCTAATGTAATTAACTAGCATCTTGTCTTTTTGTCTCGGACAACAGCCCTTTGGGTTTATACTTTGTGCTCCACATTCCAGAATTGAAACACCAAATCTTAAGCATGCCCTTTATAAATTTTAATTTCTTCCAGCACTTTCCTGAGACCTGTCACTTGACCACTAAAAATCTAAGAAAGATGGTAATGATAGTATTTTTGTACTGTGACATGTTACTATAATTGCTGCTAATAGTTCTACCTCCATACACGTATCACTTTAACTACAGTATATCAGCGTTTCCAAAAAACACCTAAATTATTCAGAGACTTACATTAAAGAAATGCCTTCCCCAGAGAAGGAACATTAATGATTTCGTAAGTATTGAATCGTGCTCCTTGAGCTTCATAGTCTCTTGTTCCTCTTGAGTGGCATGTGTGTTATGACTCAGTTTGAGCCCCAGAACAGCGAGAAAAGCCACTGGTCCCAGTCTTTTTTTGTTGCTTTCTGATGAAACAATCCATCTGTTGGCATGGTTGGCTGTAAGCTGTTGTAAACAACACCAAGGAAAAATGTAACCTCCCAGCATCGTGTTTCCCTCATGAAGGTACATATTCGTGTGAACAACTGTGAAGCACTTCTCGCAGTGATATTCTAGTGATTCATACTTGCATGTATCATCTGACTGTAAATATTTGGAACTGTATGTATTTACTCTCCTAAGATGTTTTTGTTCTTATTTTTTTTCCAGATACAGCATTTTCAGATATACCTCCATTGCATTGGTGTCCACAGGGATATTTATTTGCACCTTCATGTCAGCAAAACAGGTGGTAAGAATCGGTTCTCAAATCATCCATAGTCACTTCTAGCCATTGGGGCCCATTGACCACCCATTTATGAACTGTAACACGACTTAAAGGTTTAACGCAAGGGCTCAGATCTCTGAAAGACAGGAGTAGAAGGGCAATGGGTCCTCTTACATCTCAGCACATTCCATACAGTTCTGGCCTCTACCTAGTGTATTTTCTTCTGTCCTAGACTTCCCAGTCCACCTTGAGTGAGAACGATGGATTCCGGGCATTTGCATGGTGGTTACTAGGCAAGTATAGTAATTAAAACAAAGCTCACGGCCTCTGCAGTTGTGTTTGCTGAGATTTCGCAAGGGACATGTCTGTTGGTGAGAAACTTAGGCTAAACAAATTATGCCATAAAAGAGAGGGCACTTGGGACCATATACCTCTGAACTTTAGTATTCAAGAAATGTGTTTATTAACAAAAGAATCCGTGTCTTTCTTGGTGTTTTTGGTAATAACAAGAATAGATTAAAACTGACCCAATGGAAGTGAAATATCAATGAAAGAACCATGTCCCTCTTACTCTTGGCTTCAAGCTTTAGCTGTTCAGATGACTATTCTTAACATAGAAAGATCTCTGTAAGCTATTAGAAAGCATACTTTACTCAATTAATAAGGAAGAAATAATGTCTACTAATCTTACATCAACCTCACTAATCCTATAATCAAAGAAATGCACATTAAAATAAAAAAATACCTTTCTACTTTGGGCCAGTCATATTGGCAAGATGATAAGTGATTATTTTCATGGCTACTGAAGGGTCAGTAAGACAACTGTTTTTGTATGAACTGTAATTGGCATAGCCTTTGTAGGAAAACATGGGGCATCGGGATTTTCAAACGTCTACAACCTTCAAATCAGTAGTTTATGAGAATTTATGCTAAAGAATAAGATAATTGGCATTTAAATATTTGTATACAGTATAATTATTTGGATTAACTCTTATTATAAGATATTTAAGTATGGTGCAATCATGTAATAGAATAATATACAGTCACTAAATCATACTTTGAAAAATTAATAAAGGATTTGAAGGAAAAAAGTTGTAGGAAAGGCAAGATATAAAAATGTATGTACAAGCTGGGCACTGGTGGCTCAAACTTGTAATCCTAGCTACTTGGGAGGCTGAGATCTGAGAATTGCAGTTTGAAGTCAGCCCTGGTAGGAAAGTCCTTGACACTTTATTGCCAATAAAATACTCAGAGACAGCTGGAAATGGTGCTGTAGCTCAAGTGATAAAGTGCTAGCATTGAGCAAAAAGAAGCTCAAGGATAGTGACCAGGTCCAGAGTTCAAGCCCTAGGACTGGCAAGAAAATATAATAAAAAGTATATACAAATAAGTATGTAGGAGAGCTATAGAAAACTATAAAGAATTAGGGGGTAATACTGTTAATTTTTAATTCTAAGTTTTTGTACAAGTTCTATTATTAGTTTATAGTATTTTCAAGCTGTGAATAATCTATCTATCTTATCTATCTATACTCAATGCTGGGGCTTGAACTCAAGACCTCATTCTAGGCATATGCTCTGACACTTGACCTACTTCATTAGCCTTTCTTGCTTTTAGATTATTTGTCAGATAGGATCTATCATTTTTGCCAGAGACAGCCTCAGACTGTGTTTGCCATACCTGTGCCTCCTGTGAAGCTGGGGTTACAGATGTATGCCACCACCTTTGGCACATTTGTTGAGATAGGGACTTTATCTGGCCTGGCCTCAAACCACAACCTTCCAGATCTGTGTTTCTGAATAGCTAGGATTACATGTGTGAATCCCCACTCCCCAGCCCTTCAGTAGGAAAATGTGGAAAGTAACAAACACTGGTGTCTTCTAACCAATATTTGTTTTCTAGGTATTGGAGCACTGACGTTTGCTCTGCTGATGTCAGCCAGGATGGGTATATTCCAAGAAACACTATACAAACAATTTGGGAAACACTCCAAGGAGGCTTTATTTTACAATGTAAGCAACTTCTTAATCTGAACAAGATGAAACTCCTGCTCTGCACTATGCTAGCTCGCGTGAGATTCTGATATAGTTGGAAGATCAGATTATTTTCAATGAACAGGTTCCAGAGCCACAGACTATAGTACTTCAGGTAGGGTGCTAAATCATAGTTGTCTACAGGAGGAGCTCAGGATCTGCAGGTTAAATGGCTGTTAACCAAGAGCAACACAAAGGGATGAGAAGCTCCTCCAGCCTCAGCATTCTTGTGGATAAAATCAGGTTCAACCCAACATGGAAACCTGGAAAGGAAAAATCAGTTCCAAAAGCAGCAGGCCAGCGGGACATATATGGACATCTTAGGGAGAGAGAGTCCAGAGGCCCACATCGCCCCAGAAGGGTTTATTCATAGGCTAGTTTAATGAGCTAATTATGTGTATCTGAGAACATGAAGTACAGAACTAACACCTCTTAGAGTTATCCTCTTCTTTCTCCCTCTTTGCTATTGGAATATGCCCAGAGCTTAATGTTGAACCTCCTATTTGGCTTGCGCCTTTGGTTTAGAAAATCCTGGGTACATAGTGACTGCTCGGGAAGTATTACCCCAGCTTCATTACTACTGTCCTAGTGGGGTAGATGTTTGTGGTCAAGCACGTTAGCTCGGCTTACCTACTGTCCCTTTCTTTCTCCTCTTCCTACTCTGGCCTCTCCCCTCACCTCAGCTTGATCTCAGATTTCTTTCCCACTCATTTCTAAGTTCTCTAAAACCTGCCAACATACTCCTTATTTATAGTATGTTTGCTTAACCTTTCTTAAAAATAGTAAACTGTGGCAAATCCTTTTGGCAGAAGACTGTTTACATTTCTCCCCCGCCTTTAGAAGAGGAAAGGATGCTGGTTCTTTGCTTGCTTGGCTTTGTCCATTCTAACCCTAGAATGCTAAGAGCAATGTCCATACTTGGGGGTGATGTACAGGGTCAAAGGGACAAAGACACTAGATACAGTCAATTAAGTCTAACTAGATGTGCTTTATATTTATCACCTTTCTAGCTTTCAACATAGTAGGTAAAGCTACTGTGATTATTCTCAAATACTGTGATTATTTTTCAATTTAGCTTTCTGTAAACTATTTCTTTCTCTAGCACGCCCTTCCACTTCCTGGTTTTATTTTCTTGGCTTCTGATATTTACGACCATGCAGTTCTGTTCAACAAGTCTGGTGAGTGTAAGGTTATATGGCCGAGTTGCCTCCCAGTTTCCAAGGGATTTCTTGTTTGTCTGTTTTACATTTTTGTCAGTTATCTTTCCCCCTCTGAACTTCCGGAAGTGTAGATAGTGCTGCTAATTGGTAGTTAGAGCAGCAGAAGCTCTTATAAGCTTTCTTGATTATTTGCAAATGAAGAGAGTATCTTTAGTTTTTATTTTGCTTTGGAGCCTACCTGTTTGCCTTTGAACATAGAGTGAGATTTTACAGGGTCAATAACAGCACCCAGCAGAGACTGGAGCCCTGCAAAGTTGGGCAGCAGCCCAGCTCTGAGGGGCTGGACATAATTTTCTGTTGTGCAAGGCAGAGCTGCTCACAGGCTGCCACTGCCTTGTTGCCAAGCAAGACAGTAGCAAATGATGACAGACCTTGTTTCTTAGTTACAGGTTAGACTAGCAACAAGGCTATGCAGAATTAGCTTCAAGTATCTACAGAATAAGCTAGCTATTACTTTTTTTTTTTTCTGTTGGTGGTAAGATTTGAATTCTGGGCCTGCTCTCTATCCCTCAGCTCTTCATCTCATCCACTTGGTGGTTAATTGGAGATCAGAGTCTCATGGACTTTCCTGCCTGGGCTGACATTGGACCTTAGTCCTCAGATCTCAGCCTCTTGAGTAACTAGGATTATAGGTGTGAGCCATTGGTGCCCGGCTAGCTATTACTGGGTTTTTTTTTGGGGGGGGGGGCGGGTTGGAGGTGACGTGAGATGAGGTACTACCCTTTATTGAGGAGTATATTATGGGCATAGGGCCCATTTGCTAAGAGAGGGCTGAGCCCCAGCCTGGCCTTGCCATTGATCCTCCTATAGGTCTTTTTTTTTTTCTATTCATTTAATCTCAGGCTGAGCATCTTCAATGGCTCTTGGAGCCTGGGGAACTTCCCTTGGCCTCCATGTTCTTGAGAGCCTCTTCAGTAGCAGTGAGTCCCAGGGGATGGGTCACCTGGCACAGCATAGCTATTACTTTTTAAAGGGCCATTTGATTAACTATAACTGGTCAGTCAACAAATGAAACTAGGTGTTCTGATGTTTAATAACCATAAAGTGGTTCACAGACAAACGAACACACACGTAACAAATAAGCACTTTTCTAATCAAGCTTATGTTCCTTCAGGGATAAGCGCATTTTGAAGAATGGTAGTGACCATCTAAGAACGTTGCGAAGTTATGACTGCTCTATGCCTGGGCAGTGTGCCTTCTGCCATTTTCCAAATTCTGTATGGTAAAAGTAGGGACTGTGTAAGGAAGTTTGTAAGGCTCTGTATTACTCATAGTTGTAAAGTGCTCCACAAGTCCCCACACAGCCAGACGGTGGCTGATACAGACTGAAATCAAGGCAAGTAAAAGAATGTTTGGTCTAAATCGACTAGCAAGGGAAATAACGCTGCCATTTTTGTTACGCTTTGTCTGTGTTACCTTGTTCAGACGATGCAAAGTTCAGCTGTCCAAAAGTAATCTGACCACGGGGTGGACAAGAAAGTCCGAGAGACTCATCTCCAAAAAACCACCAGAAAACCAGGAGTGGCACTGTGGCTTAAGTGGTACAGTGCTAACCTTGAGCTGGAGAGCTGAGGGACAGGGCCCCGGCTCAGAGTTCAAGCCCATGACCCACAAAAAAGAAAAGTGATCTGACCATGTCCTCTCTTAATCTGTGCAGAATTATATCAAGTTCCAGTCATCAGTGTGACAATGCCTGTCATGTGGTTCTACCTCCTCATGAATGTCATCACTCAGTATCCTTTGGATTACTCTGTCATCTTTGTGTCACCTTCGTGCTATATCTTCTAACTGTGTGGGCACATGAATTTGGTTTTTGCTGCAGTCAGTTGGAGACAGACACATCCAGGGAACTTCTTTGCAGAAGCAAAAGAGATAGAAGCGGTGCAGTAGACCAGGAAGCCACACAAAGGAGTGAAGTGAAGAGCCCATTGCTTTGTTAAAAACTAGAGTCTACGCCAGGCACTGGTGGCACAACACCTATAATCCTAGCTACTCAGGAGGCTGAGATCTGAGGATAGCTGTTCAAAGCCAGCCCAGGCAGGAAAGTCCATGAGACTCTTATCTTCCACCCCACCCCCCACCCCCCCTCACACACACACACAAAATGCTAGCCTTGAGCACAACAAGGCTCAGGGACAGCCTTTAGGTCCAGAGTTCAAGGCCCAAGACTGGCAAAAAACAAAACAAAGAAAAACAACCTAGTGTTTTATTGTGAGCGATCTGAATGACCTGTCATTTCTACCTGCAGTGTTGTGGTATCCTAGGATGTTTCTGAAAATCAGTCGTAAGTGCCAAGAAGTTCTGAAAGAAATCTCAAATTAATTGACTTTTTTTTTTTTAATTTTTTTGGGGGGTCGGTCGTGGGGCTTGAACTTTGGGCCTGGGCGCTGTCCCTGAGCTCTTCAGCTCAAGGCGAGTGCTCTACCACTTGAGCCACAGCACCACTTCCAGTTTTCTGGTGGTTAATTGGAGATAAGAGTCTCACGGACTTTCCTTCCCTGCCTGTCTTTGTTGAACCTTGATCCTCAGATCTCAGCCTCTTGAGTAGCTGGGATTATAGGCGTGAGCCACCAGCACCCAGCAAGACTGAATCTTTTTAAATAGTTACTTTGAATGACCTTAAGTTCATTATCAAAATTGTAAAGTCTTGGAATAAGTGAAATAGATTGTTCTTCTGAAGTCACCTCATGGGAGTGCCATATGATGTCTTTCAGGAGAAGTAGGTGGAGAGACATGTGATGCTGGACAGCACCACACTGCTGAGCAAATCACCCTCAAACCCAGAACAGTAACGGGAGGGTTTTAGGTAGTTTTGAATTGGGATGCATACAGGGGATGGTGAGACAGGATGATCTGTGGAAGAGACTCGTGTTTTCTTCAAACGGGATCATGTAAGCTGAGAATTCATTCCAGAAGGTGTCCCATGTCTCCACGTACAGTTTACAGTTACCTTAACCCCACCCCTCCAGGTACGTGTGCATCCGGGGCGTGTTCATCCTCACAACAGAGTGCGCCTCCCTCACCGTCACGCTCGTTGTAACTCTACGCAAGTTTGTGAGCCTCCTGGTTTCCATCTGGTACTTCCAGAACCCCTTCACGCGGTGGCACTGGCTGGGCACCTCGTTTGTCTTCTGTGGGACCTTACTGTACACAGAAGTGTGGAACAACCTAGGGACTACAAAAAGTCAGCCACAGAAGGATGGCAAGAAGGACTGAGGTCCGCCTGCAAGATGGAGCAGTGTTGCGTGGGGGAGGCCTGCTGGTGGTCTGGCCACCGCGTCACTTGGGTTAAGTGGAATGACTGCCAGTACTGAAGCAACGTGCTCCAGGGGAATTCAGAAGTAGAAGGCACAGCCGTGAGATGACCTCTTGTGGCTGTCTGCACATTTGTGGACCGAGTAGACTTCCCTCAACGCTGAAGTAGACAAAACAACCCAAAAACCTAGTTCTACTCTATCAGACAGCCTTCACATTTGCTTTTCTGTTTCATCTACCAAAAGATTTAGAGCTGTATTTGTTTGTTAAATACCGAGCCCCAGGGCTTCTAGTTTTATGTCTGTGGCCTCAGAGAAGTGGTGGCTTTTGTTACTATTCTGACGGTTTTCTCCCATGACAGTCATGGCCATCCTTGGCCACATCCCATTTCCTCCCGTCTCCCTCCACTCCTCAGCAGCACTGTGCAGGCCATCAGAAACTCCAGCCACAACCAGCCACTGAGAAACCCGCTGGTCAAGGGAACCAAGACCCCAATGGGGCTGGACTTTCTCCGGTGTGTTGGGAAAGAAACAGGTGCTGCATGAGCCGAGCCCTGGTGATCCCAGAGCTCGTTGGTGGGCCCGCTTCGTGTCTAGCTCCCCCTCCCTCATGCAAAAGTCAGGTGTTTTCCCTGTCTATCACTTTCTCTGCTTAGAGCAATCCTGCAGCATCTCCTGGCAATTAGTAAGGAAGATTGTGTGTGGATTGGGAAGTACAAGATAGGGATGATGGCCTGGACAGTACAGCGGCCCTGTTCTGCACCCCAAAAGTCACATCCTGTAGCCCAGGATGCAGGCCCCAACTGGGTAGGTGAGGCTGTGAGAAGTTCATAACCAGGAAACGTCTGCCAGGCAGCTTTGGGGGTCATCACTAGTCAGGTGAGAGATAGACTTACGATGTATTGTGTGTGTGACACAAGCAGCAGATCAAATCCTAACTAGTTGAAATTTACCCTTTCCCCCCCCCCCCCCATGAATGTTCTTGTTGGGCAATGTCAGAAACATTGTATGTACTTTGTACAGGTAGGAACATGCCTCTCTCTGCTGATCATTTCAAAGTCTAGTTCTCCTCTATGGAGTAAGTTAAGAAAGAAGAGCACTGTCAGCGTAACACATGGAGCATGGACCTTGGTGCTTACCTAGGTCCTCATTACCCTTGCACAACTGCAGACTTCTGTCAGCAGCTAAACTTACTAGCCCCTTCTTTTTTTTTTATTTTTTTTTAAGTATAGACAAAGGCCTTTCCTGTTTTCCTGGGTACAAACTGTGTTCTATGAGCCTCCTAGGCTGACTATTCAGAGATACAATAGTCTATAGTCAAAGTAATGGCAGTGAAGAGGTGTGTCCATTAACCCAGTGAGTGGGGTCAGGTGGACTGCCTCAGATTTTTGTTAGATAAAATGCAGATGCTATTTCTCCACCTAAATCCCTGGGTTTGCAGACTGATTTATTGTTCTAATCATTGACTGCTTTCCAGTGCTAGTGATTTTTCTCAAAGATGCTGATTAGATGTGAACCCATTTATGGACTCCAAAAGCTATTGCTCCGAAACGGACTTCCTTGGACTGATGGTGCTATAAATACTGAGTGTTAAATGCCCTCTTAAAAAAGAAAACAACAAAAGCTACTTTCCCCCTCATTCTTATAGAAGAATTTGCCCCTAGGGGCTATTTGCCATATATCTGGAGTCTGGTAACTCCAAATAGGCTGTAGCCTCACCTAACTCATTACCATCCTTCTTATGTTGATGAGAAATAATACCGTTTATACTTAATGAGATCCATAGGCAGGATTTAACTGGGCCTAGCTGGACTTAGGTTCTGGTTTTAATGTGCTTATTCCTCTCAGGATGGATACTCTGCCAGTTATTAATAAAGGATATTTGTGTTTGCACGGCAAAGAGTGTTGAGGGAGCAGGCCTGAAATGCTCTGTGAGTTTGGTTTTCTCCACAGTAGTTGGATATAAGGAAAGATAGCTAAATACCTCTTTTTTGTTTACCCTTCTTTAAAAAATTTCCCCTGGCCTGGCTGCTTTTTCAGTACAGATTGATAAAGGCATAAAAAGGGTCAAAGGAACCATTTTATAGACGATCAGACTCACATAAATGGAAGAAATGTCTATTAAATACCTTTTCCTCTTTTGAGTCAAGATCACAGGATTTTGTGTGTTCAGAGCTCAAGCCATACTATTTGTTTATAACAGTTTAACATTTCAGGCATACAAAATGAGTAAAAACCAAATAGCAAAGGACACTTAACCAGAAATTGTACCATGCCCAGGAGACTGCAGCTTAGCCTCCTGGCAGGGGTAGTAGATGAGGTAAGAGGAGAGGACAGTGGGTTATATTATATTAGCCTCCTGGCAGGCATAATAGATAAGGTAACAGCAGAGGACAGTGGGCTATATTAATTTAACATCTATATATCGTTTGCCAAAATTCTGTTATCACTATTTTTTTTTTTTTTTTTGCAGTACTGAGGGTTGAATACAGAGCCTTGTACATACTTTTCTTTTGTTGACTGTACTGGGGTTGAACCCAGAGCCTCAAGCTTGCTAGGCAGGCCCTCTGACACTTGAGTCACATCTCCAGCTCTTTTTTGCTTTAGTTATTTATCAGGTAGGGTCTCGTTTTTGCCCAGAACTGGCCTGGGAGGGAGACCCTCCTACTTGTGTCTTCCAGCATAGCTTTATTTGTTGAGATGGGATCTCAGCAAACCTTTTTCTTGGGATGCCCTTGAACCATAATCCTCCCAATCTCTGCCTCCTGGGTAGCTGAGATTCACTGACATGAGCCACCATTGCACATATTTCTCATTCTTCCTCACCTACCTACTGAAACTATTTATATGCTTAATGACATAATCCAAATAGTTGGTATTTTGTATTTGCTATTTTTTTCCTCCTTCCTATTCAGTTGACCAAAGTGAAATACTGCAGAATTGGAATGGAAACCTTGAAAGCCAAGTTGATCTGTGTCACTCCATAAGGCTCCTCTGCTCTTCTGGGAAGATTACGTGGTAACAATGGATTTTAATAAACACCAGGGGCTATTTCCTAAGCACCTTTCCCTCTTTTCTGCTTTATTTTTTCTACTTCCTAACTTTTCCTCCATTTCCTAGCTACAACCTTTATTCACTTGTGTTTCCTACTAAGCAATAACTATAATCTGTTTATGCCTCTATTCTTAGGGGCCTCTTGATGTTTTCATGGAGTTTTATAGGATATTTATACCTGTGAGGCACTCATTTTGTTTTATGTGCTTATAAGTATTGCTATTAAAGAATGTGGTCCAGCGAGTGTGGTGATGCAGCGTGGAACTTCAGCACTTGGGAGGTAGAAGCAGGAGGGTCACAAGTTCCAGGCTTGCCTGGGCTACCTAGTGAGATCCTACCTCAAAATAAAACAACATGGTGCCTGTGTATGGATGAGAATGGCAGAGTGGATGGGTATGGGTGTGAAGGGTGAGTGTGGAAATGTGTGTATCGTCTGTGACAATCCAGTGAGGGGCTGAGAACCTTTGCCATTCCTTTCTGGGCAGCTCCTCTACCATTCCTTTTGGTGTTTGGGAAGCAACACTTTCTGTACTTGGCTCTTCAGCAGTTCACCAGCTAGTGCTGGTACTAGTAGAGAGAGGAAGTGAAAAACCAGTGAGCGTAGTCTGGGCGGCTCACTGCTGGACTTGTTGCATTGCCCTGAGCAGGTGTACAGCTACACCTGGAGAAAAACCACATGGCAGCGATACAAAGGCAAACTCTTACATTTGCATTTTGTCTATTTTGGGCTCAAATGGAAGGAATACTGAGTAATTCCACTTTTATTAGATAACCAAAGCATTTTGGTTTCAATTGCTTACTCTTGCAAGTGGATTTCACCAGTGGCCTTTTACTTGTAGATTGAGAGACCTGTCAAGGTAGCTAAAATCCATTGGCAATTAGTCAACTTACATTTAAAAATACATACAGTATTTCTAGGGACAAGAACTTGTATAAGCTCTAGAATATGATGACTAAAGCTGGGGTGAGAACCTGCCCTTCTGTGCTTTGTAGTGTGTTCCTTCTTTCTGGTAACTTCCTCATTAGACATTCCAGGGATCGTGTCTAAAAAAAAAATCACTATGTACTGCCAGTCCCTAGCCTAGGGTCCAGCATGTTACATGAATAAAGGAATGCTTTCCAAGATTGCTTCCTCTTTCACATTCTTGAGAAACAAGCATTCCTAAAGGCTGTCCTTATTCCTCATCAGCTGGTTGGCCAGAAAGGAAGTAAGAGGAGAGAAACACTCCAGAGATTGCCAGCAAGAGCAGAAATGGAGAGATGCTGGGTGGTTGCTGTAGAGTGCAAACTGCTTCCCACTCATTGTCCTCTTGGTTGCCTGCTGCTCAGAAAAAGCCAGCACATCACAGGCCTCCTTCACTATATCGCAGCTTACTTATTGCAGCTTCACTGTGGTGTCTTTTGTCGTTTTTAAACAAACACATAAACGGTGATCCCTTTCGCAGGAGTTATGTTCCAGAGATCCTGTGACAGGTGAGGCATCGCTATATACATTTAGCCCCTTACTCAGGGAGAAAGTGGAAGGAGATTGCTGTCCGGTCATTAAAGATTCTTCCATGATTCTGAAGCTGCCTTGGGATGATCAGCTTTCTCCCCGGTCTTCCCCAGTTAGTGTGAGGGAACTGCTGCCTGGGGGGACATGGTTTGCCGGGGGTCACCTTCACATTGAGACACACTTTCCTTTAGCTTTACCTACCGAAATGGTTGCCTGTCCTACCGAAAGGCAAGCTACGAGGGGTCCTGAGATAGAAATAGAAAATTAAAAAAAATCGTGATGGGTGCTTTAGCACATGGGATTATTTTCATCCTTTGAGAAGATTTCTCTGAACCAAAGAGGTGGCAGTGGTTATTCCCTGGCCCCATAAAAACAGCTAAGTCCTGTGTCATTAATTTCCTCCCAGAGAATGGCCTCATCCTCCAAAAATGGAGATGGTTGTGAAAGTGTGCTGCGTTAACACTTTACAGGGTGGCAGGGATTTCATCCGGGATCTGAGCTCTTCATTGAGTATTACATTAGAAGAATGAAGGTGAGGGAGTGGAAAGGGAGGTAGAAACTGAATATGTAGAGCAGCCAAAAGACAATAGTGAGTATTCAGACTCCGAGCTTTGCAAACATCAAACATCAGCTTCCATC